TTAATTATCTTCAATTTGATGGTTTCATCATTATTATACCTTTTAATCTTTATGTGTTTTAAGTTAATCGTGTAGATGAACCTGTGACTCCCACCTCAGCAAATGTTGCACAGACTAACTCTGTATCGGTGAAACCAATGAAACATATATCAGCTGTTAAACTAGAGAAACGAGAAGTTACAACTATTGCCAATAAAACTGAAGTCCACCCCGTAAAAGAAGAGATTCCTTTATCTGATGATTTCAATAAAGCTAATGATCATAAACCGGTGACCCCAGCGATCACTCCAGATTCTAGTCCAATCGAAGCACCTGTTGACGATCCAACCAATAATTCACATAAAGTACTTGCGACCGCTGTCCCAATTCGTGAGAAAGTTTCCTCGCAGGCTTTAGTAGAAACAAATTCCAAAGTTTCGTGTACGGGTAGTAATGAGAATGTGTATTATGTAAGTAATGGGGAAGGTCCATCTCATGCTAATGGAACCGCAATTACTACTACTGTTACGTATCGTAAACGCAAATTTGACGAAGTAGATGATGGGAATAATTTAGAGCAAGAGCAAGTGGACATACTCAATAAACGATTAGCAGAATTAGAAAAGCGGGCCAGTAAACGTAGGAGGTGGGAACTTATTACCTCTACGGTAATTGGTATGGTGGCCGGAGTTGTCAGCCTTGGGGTCGGTGCCTACATGCTAGGAAATTGACCATGTATAATTTTGCATAACATTCTATCGTAATGGTACTATTGTCTATACAGTTCGTTCGTTTTGTTTATATTACCGGAATGTCACTTAAATTCTGCATTTTTTTTGCGTTTTAAGGGCATTATTGGCCCATTTTCCAACCACACTCATACTTTCGCTATCTGATTTATCTTGAATGTTAATCCTTTTTCTTTTTCCTTTGATACATAACCCGTTCATCATTTAAGCTAAATACAAAAGAGAACATTTATCTATGTTTTCTCTGTTCTAACTGAAATATATGTATATATTCCAACCATAATATCGGGTAAATAAATTCATTAAATTTTTGTGCACTTCAAATATGTATAAATATATATGTGTACATGTATAGAAATTATTAATTTGGCTGGTCTTATTATACTACTCAGATTTTGTGATTTACATGAATAGAGTTATTGGTATAGTTTTACCGAATGTCTAACATTGTGACTTGAATCGGTTAAGCTATAATCGGTTAACCGACCCGAACCGAATAAATTTCGGGTAACCGGTTGAGAAAATTCTTAATCGGTTGACCCGGCACAACCTGCTGGCGGGATCTGAAAATGACAAAATGATGTAATAAGGAGGTGTAAATGTTCCGAAAAGTTCCGAAAAAATAAATGAACGAACAAAAATTAGAGTAAAGCTTCGAGAATTTCCGAAGGTAATAGAGGATTAATATTAACCGGTTGGCAACCGGTTGAATGAAAATAATTCAGTTCGGTTAACCGATTAAGGAAAATTTTCTCGGTTCAAATCACTAGTTACGGTATATTATATATAATTATTGTTTTTAAAAAATTGATAAAAGCAAATTTTCTTTTCAAAATTAATACAAATCAATATATAGTGCTGTAATAAATTAAAAAGTATCAAACAAAATTAGACAATTATATACTCTTTCTACTGATTATCAAAACACAGATTTTTATGGAAATACAAAAACACAATAATCAACAGAACCTGAGAATAGTACTAAAAAAGCAAAGTTTACACAACTAAGTAAAGACAAAACAACATTCTGTTTTTTAGGAGACTGGAGTTGAGAAATTGAAAACCAACAAGATATAAAAGAAAAACTTAGAAATATAGTGGTTTTTTGTTATCTGTAAGCAATTTTTCAAAAGAAGCATTTGATCCTGTAGTGCAGATCTGTTGGTATAATATAACTATATAACATATAACAAAAGAAAAATAAAATAAATATATAAGTAGCAAGGCTTAACAACAAACAAGTTTTAGATGAAACTATATGGATAAGGATAAAACAAGCATAATTGAACCTCAAAAACATTAGGTATATTTTAGATCTTGATCTACAAAACTTGAAGCAAGTCAATCTAAAAAACAATCTAAGTTACAAAGTCATCAAAAAAGCAAGAAAACTTAAGATTAGCATAAAATCAGCAAAAATAAAAAAAGTTTTAAACCTATAAATCAAGATACAAAAATAATAAACTTACTTAATATGAAATACAGATTTAGCTTTGGACAAGAAAAGTTTATAAATATTTTCATACTAGAACAATTGCTAAATAGCAAAGGCATAATGCTTTTGACATGAAATTAGCTAAAAAAGTTAAGAAACAGTATAGCAAGAGGAAGAAAAGCAAAATTGTTTCAAAAAATAAAAAGGTTATCACTTATAAACAAAAATAGCAGAGTTTAAAAAAGAATCAAAAACTACAACAGCTTAAAGACAAATCTTAAAACAATAAGCACTGACAAAAAAAAACAAGACCAGATTCTATTCGAAGCAAGAGATAAAGAGATAGAGATAGGAAAGATAGTTTGCAAATAAATAAAAAAAATTAGAAAATAGAATACTAGTACAAGCAAAACATAAAAAACACTGGGTTTGGATCCTATAGCTTAGTAGTTAAGCTTCCAAACCCCCACAGACATGATCAATAGTTTGAATCTACCTGGAGATATAAAATTAGTAATTTTTAATCCTTTGTAAGCCAATTGACGAGAGTGATATTTCAAATATGAAACTCTGTAGAAAGTTCAAGTACAGTACAAAACTGAATAAGAAGTTTTCAGAAAGAGCCCTGATCATAAAGTAGTACTTACGCATATCTTTTACAGAAAATCTAGATTGTAGAAGATCACACATATAAGTCCTCTAGTTGGGGTAACTTGGAGGTAACACTAATATTCTTTCACTTCTGCTTTAGACAGTATCAATATCTTCACACCTAACTTGTAGAGTACTTGCTTGAAAGAATAATTAGCAAATCGTATATATCAGTTCTAATTTGGATTGATATTGGGACTTGTTTGGAAGAGTAATATAATATTACTAAAACTAGAGTAATAAGAGAAGTAGTAGATATATGAAAAGGCTGTAGTAAAGAATTATGCCTTAACTGGAATTAAAAATATCTTTGGTATCGATAGAATGACTATAAAAAGCTATTCAGTATAGAAAATATAACTTACTTCTGTATATTTAAAGATATCAATTCGAAGCTCTGGTTAGAAGTATTTAAGGGGTTGTACATTATACTAGATAATTTAGAAAATGTTAAAACCTGAGAAAGGCAAACTGGTAGTAGCAGCAAAG